TGTGTTGATTTCGTTTTTTGCTTATGCCCTAAATACATGTACTGTTCATAGTTCTTCTTGCACGCCTTGCCACTGTTCTTGGCCTTCAACCCTTTGTATTCTTCATATTCTTGATAGTCCATCTCTGTTCTTGATTCTGAAACTTCGTATTTGTTTTCTATTTTTTGTATCTTTTCCAGATCTATGCCTTCGATCTTCATCTTCATAGCTTTAGATTTGGGATTTGTTTGTAGAACCTACATTTTTAGGGCAAAACTGAAACATCCCTTTCAAATTTCTTCATCAACTAAAAACCTAGGTTTTTTGCCGAGGTTCTAATAACCGTATTTGAACCATCTTCTTATTGAAACCCAATACCTTTAGTTATCCCGACATCATGGGTATGTGGGAACATCGGGTAAACACCCCCTCTAAGCTGGAATTCTTTAGGCAAGAGTTTGAAATCCCAGCCGATGTCAATCTGAGGTTAGCTGGGGATGATGACTCCATCATGCCTACCAAAAACTCCATACCCTTCCCTGTGGTTGCCTTTATCGAGTGTGGATTCCGATTTCCACTTAACATCTTTTTTCGCGAGATTCTTCATTACTACAAATTGAATCCCATGCAACTGGCCATTAACTCTTATCGAGTGATCTACGTCATTATTGCCTTAGCTAAACAGGAAAACGTTAGGATCACCCTAGTCGATATCCAGTACTGCTATACCATGTGTGCCCTTAATTTGAAAGAAAAAGGCTACATTTATTACCTTAAGCCGAGGTCTACAGAATTCAAAATCGTAATCGACCTCCCAGACTCCAACAAGGGGGTTGGAGATGACTATTTTCATTATCTTGGGAAATTGGGAGTTTGCTCCAGACGAGGACGTCCATCTCTACCCTCTTCCTCGTTCAGTTTTAGAGGGCAAGGGTAAGAGCCCAATATTCAGCTTTGCCAGTTTTCTTTTGAAGTCTTAAATACTTTGTCTGTTTCTGACATCTGTTCTCCTTGCAGCTGCTCGTCAGCCACTAAAAAATTTTCGTCAATCCTTTGTTCCCAGCAAGGATTTGAAGAAACTTCTGGACTTGCCAATCCACAAAAAAAAGGCACCTCTACTTCTCAATTTTATCCCAACTTATAAGTCAACCTTGCCCGACGTCCTTAAGAGGAAGAAGAAAAGCCTCTCTCCACCTTCTGCTTCAACTCCATTGACTGTATCCACATCACGAACAGATCAAGGATCAACATCTGATCCAGCAGATCAGCTATCTTCTTCAGCTCCATACTTGGTTCCAATTTCTGAACGAAAACGTCGGCGACGACTTGTCCTTATTGCCGAGATGGGTCGCCCTAAGCCTGTTGCCAAAGACCTCCTAGCCAACATTCCATCATCCATTGATGAACAACCAATACAAACCCAACCTCCATCAAAATCAAAAAGAATTAAGAAAGCTCAACCGAAGGCGAAAGTGACTCAGGTTGAGACTGAGGACACTTTGCCAGGCCCAAAACTGGCTCCAAGTCAGAAAACTGCCTCTGTCCCTTCGAAGAGGTCTGCCGAAGTACCTCCTTCCGAATCCTCTAAATCAAAAAGGCCGAGGTCATCTGCAACGACTTCGAGGTTAAAGAAACCAGATGCCTCCTGGACCCCCGAAATCACCCTAGAGGATAAGCCCGTAATGGCAAGTGACAGTGTCGACGAAATCAATGTCAGCGTTGCACTCAGTACCGCTCTACTTCTCCCAGGTGACCTGGAGCGGAACGCCCAGTATAGCGAGTATGAGAACTATGCCTTAATGTTACAGCACTCTGTTCAGGTAAACGTCGTCTACTTGGTAAATTTTTCTTTCTCTTTATTTCACACTTTGAATATTCCTTAATACCTCTGTTTTCTTTCAGGCCATCCAACATGCCCACTCTTTCTCAATGCAGTCTTTTGAGAACAGGGAGAGGCTTGCCGAGATGAAGAGGGAGGTCTCTAGCCTCCAAAAGACCAACAAAGGCCTCCAGTCAAAAATGAAGAAGCTGGAAGACCAAGCTGAGGAAGCCATCAAGGCTCAGACCGAAGCCGAAGAAAAGACTGAGGCTGCTGAGGCCATTAGGAAGGTGGCCAAATCGCAAAGGAGAGAGGCCGAGGAAAAAATGGCCCAAGCTGAAAAAGAGCTTCAGGAGGCTCTGGCCACCAAAGAAGCTGAAATCAAAGACGCTGACGAAAAGGCGTACTCACAGGGTATGGCCGACGTTACTGAGGCCTACGAAAAACAAGTGAAGGAGGCATGCAACAAGGGTTTCATCCTTGGTTGGATGTCCCTTCTTAAAAAGCTTAATGTTCCTGATGACTCTCCATTGCGGAAGGCCGACGCCATTCCCTTGCCATT